TTCCCCTGCACCCAACGATAACTTCCACCTGTAAACTCTGCAGCTGACCAGTGACCCCACCGCCTCCATCAGTTATTCCCTTTTCTCCACCCTCTTCCTCTCTCCAAGCACCTTCCTCTCAACTATGCTTAAAAATCTCTCCCTTCTTTAAAGCAAGGTCTTCCCTCACCCTCCATCACTATCCACTGTCCACTGCCCCTTAGAACCAGCATCCTTTAAAGAATCGTAAGTGCTGTACGTGCCGTGTTTGCGTCCTGATTTCCGTTCACTCTGCACCCATAGTGACTGCCTTTGCTCCCACACCCTGTCACTCCACTGACACTGCCCCCTCCAAAGTCACTGCGATCCCCAGTGATACACTCAATGGCATTTTAGACCCTTATTTTCCATGGCCAGTAGTGACTGCTATCATTGCCAATGTCATTTTCCGTCTCTTATTTCCTTCTCTGCTTCTTAAATGCTGGTAATTCTCTCCTGTCCACCATCAGCTCTCTTTCCTTCCCCCGAACTCATCCGAGGCAATTGTCGTGCACAGCAAATACCACTATCTGTGTCTCCTAAATATATCTGGACTCTGTCACCTTCTCAGTTCTAACTGTCACTGCCTTCGTTTAGGTCCTCACATCTGGACTTCCACAAAAGCATCCTGGCCTCCAAAATATGTCTCCACGTGGCTGCCTGAGAGAACATTATGCCAGGCAAATACGGCCATGTCATTCTCCTATTTAAATATGACAATGAGTTCCCTTCCATACATCATCTACCACAGACTTACTAAATCAGAATCTGAGAGGGTGGGATTCAGGAAGATGTTCTAATGTGTGCCTTTGTCTATTCTGGTTATTAACCCGTTTGGTATCCGCCAGCCTATGGCATAAAGTCAAATCCATTGCACTCCATCCAATACCCTGCATATGTCTGACCTCCGCTTCCTCGGCCACCATGCCCAGTCGTCCTCAAGCCCAGACCAAACCATGGTGCATTTGCCATGTGTGCCAGGCGGCTTACACTTCCCTCCACGGTTTTGCACATGCTCCAAGTCCCTCACCCTCCTTCTCTTTCTGGCAAATTCCTACTCATTGTTCAAGAGTCAATTCAAGGATCAGCCCTTCTAGAACATTTTCCTGGATCTCTTTTGACTGTAGCTCAGTCTAAAGCATAAGGGACTTCATTAGCATAACTACAGCTAGCTAGATAATACATCATCAGAGAAAAGGCCTTCTTGAGGGCCCAGACAAGAACCATGTGCTAAGTTCTGATTTCTCTAAAAATTTTAACTTTAGGGCACCAAGTATTACCAGTTACAACAGAAACAGCAAATTAATGTGGACATTATATTTCAGATTTGAAAAAATTTAACCTAGCTAAATATGTGAATAAGAAAATCTCTTTCAATTACCCCAATCCAAAATAATTTAGTAAGATCAGATGAACAAATCAAAGAAAAAGTATGTACCTGAATAAAGGAACTTATAATGCTGTCAACCGAAGGAGGTCTTTGGAGTTTGCTTGCAATTTTGTTTTGAAGAGCAGGAACTACAGGAGAAGGCTGTCTCAAGTGCTGAAACAAAGGAAGAAATACATATGTGTGTGTATATATACACACA